GGTTGCTCCTGTTGAATTTCTCTGGAATTGCTTTTGTATCGACTCATAAGGAGGAGGTGCGACTAGTGACTTCGTGCACGGACCATCCATACGAACTCCGTATCGAGCCTACTGAGCCGAAGATGGCCAAGCTGACCATCGTCGGCGAAACGGAGCAGCGCTACTTTCCAGTTCTATCGCGGCAGGCGTTATTACGAGCTGTCCAGGTCTCGATTGGGTCGACAGCACTCATTACGGACTTACACCCACACCCCCATTTGGACCGTTTGGCTTACCTGTGGGCAGGTAAAAGACGATGGACATGTACTCGGAGGACGTTTAAACTGCGTATTCGCCAACACCGGGACATGGCGGGCAAGAAATGTTTACAAGAGAGGACGGAACGGTGGCAGACTGTTCACGGAGCCCTGTACAAGGGACTCGAATCGGTGACGTGGAAACATATTCGTCGTTGGATAGGCCTGGACGCATGGGGTGAGCGCCTAATTTATCGGATCAAAACGCATGGGCTCAGTCGGTTTGACCGAACCCAAGGGCATTGGGGATACCCCCATAATTCATGTATCGGAGCAAAGTACATTACGCTCGGGCATATTTTCTGGGACTGTCCTAGGGCGAAACTTCTGTGGACAACTTTTGCTCGACCGTGGCTCCAATTGGGGTACGACGTGGACGTTGGCAGACCTGAATCCTGCTTCACATTTCAATTCGGTGGCACTCCACCAGCTCTTCTAGCACGAACCGAGCATGGAAATTCGACATCTGCTGTTCTTCACGGCTAATGGCGACCGCGTACTACCTGACCTATGCTCTTCTAGTCTGACGGGGAACCACTCACCAGTACATGATGTACTTCGGTGGATACATATTGATGATTCGCATCTGGCATTTCAAGTGATGAAAGCTGGATGCCCAGTCAGTAAGCCGTCTCTCACGTTTCGACGCCTGCTCAACCAGTTTATCTGGTTGCTCCTGTTGAATTTCTCTGGAATTGCTTTTGTATCGACTCATAAGGAGGAGGTGCGACTAGTGACTTCGTGCACGGACCATCCATACGAACTCCATATCGAGCCTACTGAGCCGAAGATGGCCAAGCTGACCATCGTCGGCGAAACGGAGCAGCGCTACTTTCCAGTTCTATCGCGGCAGGCGTTATTACGAGCTGTCCAGGTCTCGATTGGGTCGACAGCACTCATTACGGACTTACACCCACACCCCCATTTGGACCGTTTGGCTTGCCTGTGGGCAGGTAAAAGACGATGGACATGTACTCGGAGGACGTTTAAACTGCGTATTCGCCAACACCGGGACATGGCGGGCAAGAAATGTTTACAAGAGAGGACGGAACGGTGGCAGACTGTTCACGGAGCCCTGTACAAGGGACTCGAATCGGTGACGTGGAAACATATTCGTCGTTGGATAGGCCTGGACGCATGGGGTGAGCGCCTAATTTATCGGATCAAAACGCATGGGCTCAGTCGGTTTGACCGAACCCAAGGGCATTGGGGATGCCCCCATAATTCATGTATCGGAGCAAAGTACATTACGCTCGGGCATATTTTCTGGGACTGTCCAAGGGCGAAACTTCTGTGGACAACTTTTGCTCGACCGTGGCTCCAATTGGGGTACGACGTGGACGTTGGCAGACCTGAATCCTGCTTCACATTTCAATTCGGTGGCACTCCACCAGCTCTTCTAGCACGAACCGAGCATGGAAATTCGACATCTGCTGTTCTTCACGGCTAATGGCGACCGCGTACTACCTGACCTATGCTCTTCTAGTCTGACGGAGAACCACTCACCAGTACATGATGTACTTCGGTGGATACATAGTGATGATTCGCATCTGGCATTTCAAGTGATGAAAGCTGGATGCCCAGTCAGTAAGCCGTCTCTCACGTTTCGACGCCTGCTCAACCAGTTTATCTGGTTGCTCCTGTTGAATTTCTCTGGAATTGCTTTTGTATCGACTCATAAGGAGGAGGTGCGACTAGTGACTTCGTGCACGGACCATCCATACGAACTCCGTATCGAGCCTACTGAGCCGAAGATGGCCAAGCTGACCATCGTCGGCGAAACGGAGCAGCGCTACTTTCCAGTTCTATCGCGGCAGGCGTTATTACGAGCTGTCCAGGTCTCGATTGGGTCGACAGCACTCATTACGGACTTACACCCACACCCCCATTTGGACCGTTTGGCTTACCTGTGGGCAGGTAAAAGACGATCGACATGTACTCGGAGGACGTTTAAACTGCGTATTCGCCAACACCGGGACATGGCGGGCAAGAAATGTTTACAAGAGAGGACGGAACGGTGGCAGACTGTTCACGGAGCCCTGTACAAGGGACTCGAATCGGTGACGTGGAAACATATTCGTCGTTGGATAGGCCTGGACGCATGGGGTGAGCGCCTAATTTATCGGATCAAAACGCATGGGCTCAGTCGGTTTGACCGAACCCAAGGGCATTGGGGATGCCCCCATAATTCATGTAGCGGAGCAAAGTACATTACGCTCGGGCATATTTTCTGGGACTGTCCAAGGGCGAAACTTCTGTGGACAACTTTTGCTCGACCGTGGCTCCAATTGGGGTACGACGTGGACGTTGGCAGACCTGAATCCTGCTTCACATTTCAATTCGGTGGCACTCCACCAGCTCTTCTAGCACGAACCGAGCATGGAAATTCGACATCTGCTGTTCTTCACGGCTAATGGCGACCGCGTACTACCTGACCTATGCTCTTCTAGTCTGACGGGGAACCACTCACCAGTACATGATGTACTTCGGTGGATACATATTGATGATTCGCATCTGGCATTTCAAGTGATGAAAGCTGGATGCCCAGTCAGTAAGCCGTCTCTCACGTTTCGACGCCTGCTCAACCAGTTTATCTGGTTGCTCCTGTTGAATTTCTCTGGAATTGCTTTTGTATCGACTCATAAGGAGGAGGTGCGACTAGTGACTTCGTGCACGGACCATCCATACGAACTCCGTATCGAGCCTACTGAGCCGAAGATGGCCAAGCTGACCATCGTCGGCGAAACGGAGCAGCGCTACTTTCCAGTTCTATCGCGGCAGGCGTTATTACGAGCTGTCCAGGTCTCGATTGGGTCGACAGCACTCATTACGGACTTACACCCACACCCCCATTTGGACCGTTTGGCTTACCTGTGGGCAGGTAAAAGACGATGGACATGTACTCGGAGGACGTTTAAACTGCGTATTCGCCAACACCGGGACATGGCGGGCAAGAAATGTTTACAAGAGAGGACGGAACGGTGGCAGACTGTTCACGGAGCCCTGTACAAGGGACTCGAATCGGTGACGTGGAAACATATTCGTCGTTGGATAGGCCTGGACGCATGGGGTGAGCGCCTAATTTATCGGATCAAAACGCATGGGCTCAGTCGATTTGACCGAACCCAAGGGCATTGGGGATACCCCCATAATTCATGTATCGGAGCAAAGTACATTACGCTCGGGCATATTTTCTGGGACTGTCCTAGGGCGAAACTTCTGTGGACAACTTTTGCTCGACCGTGGCTCCAATTGGGGTACGACGTGGACGTTGGCAGACCTGAATCCTGCTTCACATTTCAATTCGGTGGCACTCCACCAGCTCTTCTAGCACGAACCGAGCATGGAAATTCGACATCTGCTGTTCTTCACGGCTAATGGCGACCGCGTACTACCTGACCTATGCTCTTCTAGTCTGACGGGGAACCACTCACCAGTACATGATGTACTTCGGTGGATACATATTGATGATTCGCATCTGGCATTTCAAGTGATGAAAGCTGGATGCCCAGTCAGTAAGCCGTCTCTCACGTTTCGACGCCTGCTCAACCAGTTTATCTGGTTGCTCCTGTTGAATTTCTCTGGAATTGCTTTTGTATCGACTCATAAGGAGGAGGTGCGACTAGTGACTTCGTGCACGGACCATCCATACGAACTCCGTATCGAGCCTACTGAGCCGAAGATGGCCAAGCTGACCATCGTCGGCGAAACGGAGCAGCGCTACTTTCCAGTTCTATCGCGGCAGGCGTTATTACGAGCTGTCCAGGTCTCGATTGGGTCGACAGCACTCATTACGGACTTACACCCACACCCCCATTTGGACCGTTTGGCTTGCCTGTGGGCAGGTAAAAGACGATGGACATGTACTCGGAGGACGTTTAAACTGCGTATTCGCCAACACCGGTTCATGGCGGGCAAGAAATGTTTACAAGAGAGGACGGAACGGTGGCAGACTGTTCACGGAGCCCTGTACAAGGGACTCGAATCGGTGACGTGGAAACATATTCGTCGTTGGATAGGCCTGGACGCATGGGGTGAGCGCCTAATTTATCGGATCAAAACGCATGGGCTCAGTCGGTTTGACCGAACCCAAGGGCATTGGGGATGCCCCCATAATTCATGTATCGGAGCAAAGTACATTACGCTCGGGCATATTTTCTGGGACTGTCCTAGGGCGAAACTTCTGTGGACAACTTTTGCTCGACCGTGGCTCCAATTGGAGTACGACGTGGACGTTGGCAAACCTGAATCCTGTGATTCGTAGAGAGTGCGAGAGCGTGGAAGATCGGTTTTCGTTTTCTTCGTAAAGGGTTTCAATCGCGGGCTGGGGGGCGGTTCAAACGCGGCTACGCAGAGTAAGGATACTTCTGAACTTCACAAAAGGATGGAAGGCGGGGTCACCGTGAGTATATTTTGTTTTATTCGGCAAAGAGATGTTCTTAACGTTGACCGGAATGTATTCGATGTATGCAGAGACGGCAGTTAAGTCCAAATAGTTACACCGTAACCCTGTGGTGGCATGAATACGCACTTGCTCTGATAGAAGACCTTCTTGACCAAGTGTCGTTCTCTGAAGGTTCTTGGTTTAATTAACGATTTTTACGGTAGCAGAATAGCCCAGTAAGACGTGTGACAAAGGTGGGAATGTGCATTGGTATTACTTATCGATCCTGTGTGTTTAGCCTTATCTCGGACTTACAAAGTTCACTCGAGCTTGATGATGAGCTTGCCGATGTTCTTGCGCGCGTACATGAAGTCGATGGCCTCTGGGATGCTCTCGAGTCCGCGGAACTCGGTCGGGTCCACGCCTGGGTTGAGCTTGCCCTCGGCCATGAGCTTGAGCAGCCGCTCGATGTGCGACGGGATGAACTTGGCGTGGTTGTGCAGCAGGAAGCCGCGCACGCTGGCTGACTTCATGAGCAGCGTCGGGTTGAGCTGGTTCACGAGCATGGGCTCGGCCGACTTGTCCCCGTGGTAGCCCGAGATGTAGCCGAACACGATCACGCGCGCGTGCACCGCCAGGTTGCCGGTCACGGCCTTGAACATGTCGCCGCCGACAGTCTCGAACACGAGGTCCACGCCGTTGGGGTACTTCTTCTTGAGCACGGCGTCCACGTCCTCCTTGGTGTAGTTGATCACGCGGTCGCAGCCGAGCTTCTTGAGGTGCGCCACCTTCTCGTCCGAACTGCACGTGCCGATGACGTGGTTGCCGGCCAGCTTGGCCAGCTGCACGACGTACTGGCCGGTGCCGCCGGCAGCCGCCGACACGAACACCGTCTCGTTCGACTTCATCTCTCCGATCTGCTCCAGCGCGATGGAGGCCGAGATGCCGCCCACCGTCATGGTCAGCACTGCCGGCGACAGCTCCGGCGTCTTGATCAGGTTGGCCGCCGGCACCTCCACGTACTCGGCGAAGGCGCCGAACTTCTGGTACGCGACGGCGTCGCCCACCTTTACGGTGGTCACGCCCTCGCCGATGGCCGACACGATGCCGGCAGCCTCCAGGCCGCAGCCGAACGGGGGCGGCAGCGTGCCGGTGTAGGCGCCGGCAGTGAGGTTGATGTCGGTGGCGTTGATGCCCAAGTAGTGGTTCTTGACCACGACGTTGCCGGCAGCCGGTGCCGGCACTTCCGGCACGTCCACGATCTTGGTGGCCGCGCGGAAGTCCTTGGACTTGGTGTGCACTTGGACGGACTTGAAGGACGGCATGGCTTTAACTTTGGCTCTCGGGCTCAGATAGGGGAATGACGTCAGTCGGAGCTTGTGATTGGGAGCACACAAAGCGAGACCGGAAAAAAAAGTGTTGATGAAACAAAAAGATATGGATGGACTAAAAGAGACAAACGGGTTTGGGAATCCCGACCCGGGTTGAAATGACTTGGAAGTTGTATGGGGACGGAAACAGATGGCTTGGTGATTTGTTAATCGCATCCAAAGACGTCAACGGGATCAAGAAGAAAAATCAATTTCGTCCACAGGTGCCCGTCATCCACGAAATGGATTGCAGCCGAATTGTCGAGAATGAGCGGCGTTGGCGGTCTACAGTGGTGCTACACCCCACTCCTTCGGGAGTTAACACGTTTTTACTTTAGCTTTTAGAAAAACAAGAAGTTATTTTGGTTGATATCAAACATTTTTCAATATATTTTTCGTTGTTCTTATGCATAGTCTTGAATCACTGCCGCTACTGTAACAGGCTACCGTTACCTAGTTCTTCTGACGGGAGTCGAACTCGGCCTGGATCTCCTCGCTGCTCTTGCCCGAGGTCTCGGGCACCAGCTTTAGCGCCAGCAGGTAGAAGATCACGAGCAGCACCACGAACGGCAGGTACGCGTAGTCATCCAGCGCGTCCGAGATGTACGGGTAGGCGACGCCCACGACCAAGTTGCACAGCCAGTTGATGCCGATGCAGAGCGACGAGCCGCTGGCGCGGATCGAGTCCGGGAATAGGTCGGCGGTGACGACCCAAACTAGCGGTCCGAGCGTCGCGCCGAACGCGATGACGTACAGCGCCGTAAAGACGATCGACAGCGCCGGCACGTCCACGAGGAAGGCGATGATCATGCAGACGGCCATGATGCACATGCTGGCGATGCCCCACAGGATCATTTGACGGTTGCCGAAGCGCACGGCCAGGGCACCGGCAGCGAAGCCGGGGAAGATGTTGATGAAGTCGATGATCAGCGTTCCGATGCGCGAATCCGAGATGCCAGCGTCAGCGAAGATGCTGCTGGAGTAGTAGAACACGGCGTTGATACCCGAGAGCTGCTGGGCGCAGGACAGCAGAATAGCAGCGGCCAGTTGCTTACGGTACCGAGGCGAGAACAGCGATTCCTTCACTTCGGACTCGTTGTTGGCTTCACCCAGCTCCGACTGGTTGGACTTGCTCGACGACTCGAGCCAGTTGAGCGCCACTTGGACGTTCTCTTCGCCGTAGAGACGAGCGATGACCTGCTTGGCTTCCTCGCGGCGGTTCTTCATCAGCAGCCACGCGGGACTCTCAACGCACATGGTCGGAGCCAAGAGGAGGAAGATGGCCGCGAGGATGATCGGGAAGCCGGTCAGGTATCGCCAGCCGCTGCTCGTGTTGGCGAAGAAGAAGGCGATGGCGGGGAGCACGATACCCATGGTCACGGAGATCTGCAGACCCAGACCGAGGATGTTGCGGAGGTGCGGCGGGGACAGTTCGTTGATGTACGAACCCAGTGTGCCCGTAGCAACACCCGAAGCGATACCAGACACGACGCGGCCCACTGCGAAAGCCCAAATGTTGGACACGGAGGCTTGGATCACTGCGCCGACGACGATGAACGCGCAGTTGACGAACAGCAGCTTCTTGCGCCCCCATAGATCGCTGAAGTGACCGCAGAACAGAGAGCCGATCATGCCGCCGAAGATCCACGCGTTGACGGCGAACGTCCACTCCAACTTGGAGTGACCCGGGAACATGAGGCACGTGCCCTCCACCACGGGGCGCGCATTGCACTGGTCGGTGTCGTTGTACTGCGTCAGGTTCGTCTGCGAGGTGGACCAACCGCTCTGGAACGGCTGGAGCAGAGCCACGAGGACGCTGCTGTACAGGATCCAGTTGGGCTTGATGCTGCGCTCCGCCTCCTTGTTGGCCTTGTCGAAGGTGGTGGGCTCAGCGGCCTTAGGCGTGGCCACCTCCGAGTACATCTCGTCAGTGACTGTCTGCGGCGGCATCCTGGCTTGCTTCGTTACTTGATTGGCTTGTACGGAAGGCGGCAAAATGAAGAATGAATCGTCGTTGGCGCTTAGGTCACCGCCTACTCCGTGCAAGTCCGACGCGCAAGCTACCTACTAGTACGTGCTTGGCTCAGACGATTGCTGGAAGTGCGTCTCCCGTCTCTGTTGTTGTAGTTTCGCCACACGAAGCACAATCGCGAAAGCGACATGTGAAAGCCCTATATGTATTGTACCAGGCTTAGATTTCTCCAGTGTCCTGCTGTGTTCAGGGGGCTCTGCGTTCATGCTCTGCAAGGCGCACGTGCGTTTTCGGTAGGTGTTGGGTGGCCACTTGCAAGTTGTTGATGGGCCAGTAGTTGACGGGGTCCATCCCTACAACTTCAATTCTGAAGTTTTCGTCTAATCGACACCAACACCAAGCAGAAAAAAACGGCTGGTTGTGGACCATTGAAACGTTCGAGCTTCTCTGTTGTTGTTAGCTTAGAAAGATACATGTAATGCATGCACTGTACCCCAGTGGAACTCCAAAGACAATATTCAATCTGTGTGGGGCAGGAAGCTAAAAGCTGCAAGAGTACAGTACAAACAGCACCCTCAGCAGGTTCTTGCAGTGTCGGCTGGACTGGTTTATGTTCGCTTGTCAAAACAAATTTATGTTGGATAAAGTATGGCGGATCGTCGCACAGTTCTGCTTGGTGAGACGGCGGACGCGCGAAAGAACCAGTTTTCGGCGAGCTGCGCAGCAACCAGCCAGCGTAGACTCTATTGCAAGGCACAACCTGACCGCTCGAGGTCGTGCGCGTTTGCCTATATTACGCCACACAACGCCGCTGCAGCTGCGGAGGTCTGCACGCCCATGTGACGACTTCCGCCGACAATTGAGCCCCTCGTTGCCACGATAGCGGCAGCGGTAGCTTGTTGCTTAATGCTCACGACATCGTCCGTCCCCAGCCAGACGTACGATCTGCCTATTGTGAAGCGAGGAGGTCCGATCTTGATCAAGACGGTTCAGTATCATACGATAAACTATCTGCTCGAGCTCTACGATTTCGTTGACCTTCTTCAAACGTGACCACCAGTATCCACGGAGTGCGGCTTGACAACTGCTTGCTCAAATGCCTCCAAGTCATTGCCAGTGCTGTGTTGGCTCCGCTGGAGGTTTTGGGTCGGACCTTTGCCGTCATTGCGGCTAGCCGGAGTGCAGTCCGGTCTTACGGAGACGCGGCAGCTTATGCACCATTCAGCTGCTGTCACCCACGACGCCATTGTCAGCGAAAGTAAGGCACGCGCTTCAGCTGATTGCTAGAGCCACCTGGAGTCAAGGCTGAGCACGAGGTTTAGCTGTTGAACTTGAGGCTTGCTGATGCTGCAACTGCGCCAAAGCCGCCGCAATTTTCCTTCCTTCCCTGGTCACGACAACAAGTGGATCAAGTTACTAACGGATCGCAGGTTTGAGACAACTGCAAAGTTTTCATTGTCGGTACGACCAGCGAATGCAGCTTCAACTAAAAGATCGCGAGGAGTTTGTTCCATTCTCGTGCTTAGTTCGTCTCACAGTCAGAGTACAACCCCATCGGCTGTTCGTGATATTATAGCACGCTACCTCCTTGCACCTCAGCAGCCGCCTACGATCTTCAAGCACCTCGTGCTCGCAAACATACTGAGCAAGTTAATGAGCAGCGACCACGCCAGCGCGAACAGGCAGTACGAGATCGTAACCGCGCCTAGCACCTTGCTACGTTGGCTACTAGCCTTCAGCTCTTGCGTCTGAGCCTTCTGTCGGGGCAGCCACACGAGAAACACCAGCGAGAGGAGCTTGCACGTGTACGAAATGAGGACGGTGATTGTGACGTCGCGGCGTGTGGTGTGCGAGTCGTTCATGATGTCTCGGTTGCTCACGGCAAAGGGCTCGTTGATGGCCTTGGTCAGAGTGGCCGAGAAGGGGTTGCTGAGGTTGCCCACCGTCGTCAGCAGTCCGTAGATAGCAGCTTCGTTGCCCTTGTCGGCCAGCTCCACGACCACAAAGCTCGAGACGATGAAGTTGACGCTCGCTGGGACGGTCTCCACGACAGGCAGGCCGAGCCAGAACCACTGGTTGCGTACAACCGCCCACGTGGTGAGCATGGTGCACACCGAATCCAGCGCAACTACTGCAATTGTGGTGACGACAATGACCCGCCTCCAGTCCCAGTCCAGACCATAACGTCCCATCAGCGCCAGCGTGAGAGCCGTCACTCCCGATCCAATGATCTGCGAGACGGAGATGTTGAAGCTCGTAGCCCGCGCCCAATACATCGTGACCGGATCCGACGCCACGTAGCTGATGCCGCCGAAGACGCCCGAGAAGAAACTGTAGGCGATGACCTGGTAGACCGCGCGGCTCTGCATTGTCTCCCACATGACGTTCATGTACTCCTTTGGGTTCGGCGCCATTACTCGCTGCTCCGAGACGAAGTACCAGGTCATGGGGATCACTGGAACACAGAAGACGGCCAGCACGATCGCACAGACTGGGAAGCTAATACCGAAGTCGAAATCCCCACCGTAAGGAGGCGAACTCAGCCCGAATCCGATCAAAAGGCTGCCGAAGATGCTGAAGATGCTGCGAACCGTGTAGATCGCAGTCTGCGTGCGTCCTCGGATGGCGATAGGCTCTCGTTGAGCGTATTCAACGACGACGCCGTCGGCTGCAACGTCAGCGATGACGTATCCAAGCGTCGCCAGCATCATGAGCACGACGTACTTGCCTCCAGTGTCTGGCGCGTTGTAGTTGATGGCGGCGATCTCGTGGGCCGTGTACTGACTGGGCTCGAGCGTTCTCCACGATGCTTCAGGGAAGTACGGTCTGTCCAGCGGCAGCATCGCCATAGCCACCAGGCAAATCGTGCACAGACTCCAGCCCAGGATCATGAACGGTCGACGACGGAACCCGCAGATAGGGAAGCAGTCCGACGTAATGCCGATGAAAACCTTGACGGACCACGGGATGGCGAGCAACGCGCGCGCTGACGTCGTGGCTTGGCCTTCCATGTTGAGGTAGTAGCCGAGGAACGGCGTGGTGGCGCTTGGTAGAGCCCCCATCATGAGCCCCACCGCTGCGTACTGAGTTAGGAGGCCGCAGGACTCGCCAGACAGCAGACTGGGGGCTCCTTCGTCCCTCAAGGCGCCTTGGTTGTTGGAGTGACCGTCTTCTTCGCAGGAGTCCGCTAGCTGGTCGTACGCGTCTTGATGCGGGAGCTTGAGGGAGCTCAGGTACGAAGAACTCCTTTCTGAGGCTTCCACACGTCGGAACATCGCGTCGAGGTGCAGGAAATTGGTTGGAGTTACTGGGGGCGAATTCACAAGTGGTAGACCAGGGTCCTGTGAGACTGCGGTGCGCCGTCTCGAGATCATCTTCGTATGTGCAAGCACGGCTAGTTTTCGTCTCACGTCGAGACTATGGAGCTTCGATAGCTCTTAGGAAAATTGTGCTATCTGAGTAGCCGAGTACGACGATGGAAATACGCCCTTTGCTTGTAGTGATGGACCTGTCCATCGAGAAAATAGTGAAGGAGGGACCAAATGACTGTCATATTTAGCGGGCTGTAAAGCTCTCGTTTGCATTCTCGAAATACTAGTAACGTTAGAAAACAAAAAGATACAAAGCTCGGCATTACCAGGACTGGTTTCAAAGTCAACACGAATTCAAGTACATGTACTACGTACTTCACCTGCGGAGAAAATTTCAATCTGACTGAAGAAGTGGAAGGAGCTGGACGATCAGTCCAAATAGCGATACCTGGAAAAGATATACCGTATATCTTTTCGATACCGATGCGGAGAAGAAATAAAAAGATGAAAAAAGAAAAATTCAGTGCTTGCGCTTGTTTGGGTTGTCGTAGTGGTCCTTGTACCATTCCACCACTTCGGGGAACTTGTTGCCACGCCCGGAGTAGAAAATTGACGGGTTGTGGCAATACTCCGTTTCCTTGTTCATGAACTCCAGAAGACTGATGTTGTCACTGCGAGCCGCAGTGACCACAAACTCCGAGAAGAGTGTCAGTCCCAAGTGAGAGTAAAGCTACTTCACCGTCTCGGTTTGGCCGTGTAACACTGCCTTTGCAATTGCCTCCTCTGACCAATCCAGCGAGTAATTCGCAGCTAAAAACTTCACGACATTGAGGTAGCCACAACTAGCTGCATTAGTCATGGCAGATACTGCGCACCCGCCTTGGCCGTTCTCATAGAGCCACTTCACCACCCGAAGACAGCCACACGCCGCCGCCGCGTTCATCGCCGCTTCTGTGCTGGCTTTCCGCCTATTCGCGCGCAGCCATTTGATCACATCCAAGTGGTTGGTCTGCGCTGCTTTGGTCATTGCACTTCGGGTGCAGCCTCCACGACGGTGGTTATGCAGAAACTTCACAACCTCGAGATGCCCGTGACTTGCCGCTGCGTCCATCGTTTCTTTAGACCATTTTCCTTTCCCATTGGAGAGCAGCCATGTGAGCAGCTCGAGGTTCCCTTGCTGTGCTGCTCGGTTTGTGAACTCATCTGGAATCCCCAGGCCTCGATTCACGTGAAGCCACCTTGCCGTGTTTAGGTGGTTGTTCTACAGCGCTAATTCAATCGCCTCCAGCGTGCATCCTTCACCTCGATTAGCTTGGAGCCACTTCAAGACATCGATATGACCACTGGCAGCTGCAGAATCCATCGCATCGACAGTGCAGCCTTCCGATCGAGTCTCGTGTAGCCATTGTACAACCTCCAAATGACCATTCCCCGCTCCAGAGTCCATCGCCCTGGTCGTACACCCTTCCGAGCGATTGGCATGCAGAAACTTGACCAGCCCTAGATGCCCATTTGCCGCTGCGAAATCTATCACCTCTGTCGTGAAAAGCTTTGAATAGTTCACGTGTAGCCATTGCACCATTTCGAAGTGCCCTCTCTCCACGGCATGAAGCAACACGGACTCGCTGAGATCGTGAAATTTAATCGCATGGAGCTACTCCAGCATTTCCAGGCATTCAATTGACTGACGTGGCCTAAGCATTTTGTTCATTGTCGGCTTGTAGCCGAATAGGAATTTGGCAGAATCGACGTGTCCCGCCTTGACAGCTTGATAGAACGCACACTCGAGGTCTGTATCCCATTTTGTATTGCTTATCAGCCACTTGATGAGGCCCAATTCGCCTCCACGAGCAGCAAATTTCAGAGATCGGACTGTATCAGGGAACCATTTCGCCAGCCAGTACACCACGTCCTTCCTGCCCTTGAGCGAGGCATACTTGAATTTTCTCTTCTCACACCACATGAATATCTTGGGCTCGCAGGTATACAGCCACTTGAGCACTCGTAGCTCGGGCTCTGCTGCTATGGATCGAATTGTATCGTCCCCCCCCTATCCTAGTCATTGCGGGGCCCTAGCGGGTGGTGCTCCAGCAATCGTTATAGAGGCGGGTGGCTAGGTACGTAGGCCGGCTGCTTGGTTTAGTGGTAGAATGCGAAATTGCACAATAGCTGAAGTCCCATGGCGTCTATCAGCGAGACCGAGGTAGACACGGCCTGCGACGTCAACTACAACAGTCAGCCAAAACCACGTCTCGAATTCAGCGTCGTAGTGAACCTGATACGGATAGTGGCGAATTAAGGCGAAAAACGCGCGACCATGTTAGTTTAGGGAACTTGTGGCTGTACTGTGCAATCGTTGTAGCTCGCGAGATAACGGAAAAGCAGGGGAATAGGTACGTACGTAGGTGCCGGTTGATTTAGAATGCGAAATGGCTGAAATCATGCCCTGATCTCTAGAAGACAAAAAACTAGTGACTCGAGATCGGACTCAGTTACCGGCTCCAGTTACTGGGTCACCAGTCGAAAGACTGCCAGTGACAAAGGGCCACGATACCGGCCTCAGTTTACTGGCTTCAGTTATCGAGGCGCGAATTAACCCGATTTGGGCTGCCTAGCAGCATCTATCGGCCACTGCTATCTCAGTATAATACTTAGGCACAAAAAATTGTAAGCGATAATTAGTTTTTTTGAGATACCACCGATGCTTTTTTCGGTAAATTCAAATAAAAATCAAATATATCCGTGAAACCAATGCTAATTAAACTTGAATTGAATTTTGATACCTCACTAAACGACTCTTTTTTCACGACCACTTGCGCTTGCGTGGGTTGCCGTAGTGGTCCTTGTACCATTCCACTACTTCGGGGTGCTTGTTACCGTCTCCTGTGAAGAAGACGGTTGAGTTGCGACAGAAATCCGTTCCCTTGTTTAAGAATTCCAGAAGACGGATGTTACCACTGCGCGCCGCATTAACCGCAAACTCCGGCAAGAGCTTCATCCCCAAGTGGAAGTAAAGCCACTTCACCGTCTCCGTATAGCCACCGAACTGCGCGCTTGCCATTGCCTTCTCCGACCATTTCAGCGAGTGATTCGCAGCTAAAAATTTCCTCATGCGTCCATCTCACCGGCGTAAGGGGGGCACATGAATATATTTTGCCTCGACTTGAATTCGAGGGCGTGGCGAGCGCCCCCAATGCCTTGATTTGCGAGTCCGCGCTGGAATGGTGGCGAGGCTAGATCATTCGCTTGGCGAGGTCCCTCGTTGATTTGGCCGATTGCACTGGATACTCTTCGACACACCGCGACATCCACCGGCCCAGTAGTTTGATCGCGAGGCCATCCGCTTTTCCAGCGAGCAGAGCGCTGGCACCTCCGCTTCTCAAGGAGTGTGTCGAGTAGTTGGACTCGGGTACTCCAGCCTTTCGTGCCGTACGCTTGATCGCTGTTGCTACTGTTTTCGTGTCGAGCTTCGCGCATAGATACTTGTGTTGGACAGCATTCAGGTCACGACGCGCTCGGAGAATGTGTTTTAAGGCTCAGACCGGGCATAGTGATCGATCGCCAGATTGGTGCATGGTGCGCCATGATCCCCGCCCGTACTGGTCGTTCTTGGCTCCTCGTAGGCCGATTGTGATTGCGCTTGTGCTTGACGCGGTGACTTGGTTACCATTCGAGTCAGCGAAGAAAACATCTTTGGTCTGGAGACAATATAATGATCGCCGCTTGCCGATGGCGAGATATTCAGATCTCCTCAACAGAAAGAAATACCCGATAAGGACGCTGCCCCACAAAAGGCGATCCCTCGGCTGCGTGAAGTTGAGAAAGCGCCGCAGCAGACGGAGGAATGCGGGCGTAACGGGTTGTTTCTTGCGGACTGGGTCGGACATCCTCTTGATGCCTTGGAGCAGGATGGTCATTTGGGGCGACCGACGAAGCTGCAGGCCACAATAGCGACGGTGATACCAGATGACGCTGGACAACTTGGACTGGATCGTGTTGTGCTGGTTGCCGCGGCGTGCATTGTTTCCACCATATTTCCAGAGGTAAATTGCGAAATAAATCAGCTTGTTGGAACTTGCCCGACCGGAGTCTGGTAGCCAGGTGTGCCAACCCATCAGTTTACAAAAGCGGCGCCATTGCTTCCAGTTTGCGTTGTATTTCATGTTTGACGATCTGGCCAGGGCGTGACTGCACAGAATCGCTCCCACACGCTTGAGAGATTGTCGAAGGGAGGTACGACGTTCACCTGCGTCCACGCACATGAAAGATCAGACCACGTTGCCCATAATGGATGAGATTCAGTCCACGCCCGTGATCCCGCATCCGCCATTGTGTTAAGCTTGCCAGGAATGTGGATGGCAGTGAAGAATAGGCCATACTTGAGCTCAACCATAGAGATCAGTCGATTGTAGAGCTGCGCCGTAGGGTGGCGGCTGTACCGACGACTCGCTCACGAAACAGCGCTCATATTGTCGATGTGAAACTGGACGTGGGTGGGCTGTGTCGGAGATGCATTCTGCCAGTGCGGTCCCCACAAGAGTGCGGCGAGCACAGCACTCTGAAGTTCGCGTACGTTGATCGAATTCTGGTACGACCCACTCTGGAGCTCTGCGCATTCTTCGCCCCTGTATTGCAGTCGGATATACTCACGCCGGCTGGTGTCCAAAGCACACAGACCTGTGTTGGAAGCATCCATCTCCACGATTATGCGCGGGGGCGTTGTTGCAGCAAAGTGTGATACTGGAATCCCATTAAACCGGTCTTGGTTGAGCATGACCGCTCTGAACCACCGCAAATTTTCGATGGTATCGGTGTCAAGGGCGCGGGCTCCGTAAGGCAGCATTGCCACGGTTGCCGTGTGAGCCCTCTGGTAAAAGGCCCTAGCGGATGGAAAGCATGAGGCCACGTGGCGAAACACACCGAGAAGCTTCTGGAGGTCGGATTTGGAGGCACGTCCGGCATTGAGAACTTGGTCGACTTTGGTGGTAGCCCTCTGTAGTTTTTCCGCTGGGATGGATACGGTGCCGTCGGCGGCGTCCCACATTAAGCCAAGTACAAGATTCTTGGAGCGCCACGGGGTAAACTTCCGGTCATTGATTGCTGTCGGCCCTAAGACAGTGGCCATTGCTTTTCGTAGCGCAACATTGGCATCGTGGCATCTTCGCCCCTCATCAATCTCAACACACGTGTGATCATCACACCATACATTCCCACGAAAGGGGGACGCATTGTGGGTCGAGGAGTCCGACGAGTGCGAACCCTCATAAATATCATTGATGGCAGACCCCGCTAGAGAGTAAAAGGCTGGCGACCCACACCAGCCAAAGCCACAGGCCAAATTGATGACTACGTAGTCGTCGATGGCAAAAGCAAACATGTGCACGGCATCCTCGTGGACAGGCACGTGACGAAAGGCACCGGAGACGTCTCCAAGCATCAATAACACGTCATCATCAGGCTGGGCCGTGCGTAAATCGTGGATCCGGCGCGCAATATCGCGGGGAGGGTTGTAGGAGATTGGAGCGATCCGTAAAGTCGTTCACCGATGCCCCATCAGGATATGAGTAGTCGTTAATTATCCGTGTCTCGTTGCCGGCCTTGTCAACCACTCCAACCGGGCTGAGGAATATCTCAGACCACAAGTCGAGCACACTCGCGTTGAGTACGAGATAGCGGCCATCTCGCTGACCCTTCCTGATGGGTTTGAGGACTTCGGCAGAATGAACAATGGCGCTCTTGTGATTGGAGGGCCGAATTACTTGCCGATCCGGCTTCGTCATCGTCCAACGTGGACGTACTCCTTCCCTGACAACGCCATTCCACTGGCAAAATAGGTCTGGGTTTGCTGCTGGCTTGTTGGACAACTCATACAAGGCTTTGTTGGGCCTACCATCCTCCTTGGTCTGCCCGCGTATCAGACACACGAACATGGGCAGCGACAGATTTGACCGATACGCCAACATGGTGAGGAACTCGACGGAGTCTGTATCAATCTTGTCGTCCACATGACTGGTAGGAGGGGGTGTCAACCTCAGTGCGGATGCATATTCGGCCAGGTTGGAGAGTCTGTCCCGCTCGGAAATATCAGCGAGGCGTTGTAGTAGATGCAAAGTACTTGATAGATCTCGAACATCTCGAGTCCTTGTACACGAGTGCGGTTTTTCACGAACATCAATACTTGATGCAGCTTGATCTGCACAAGCGGGTACAGCACGCAAACACGGGGCACCACGGACATCAATCACTGGAACAGCAGATGATAGTCATTGTTGCGACTGTTCTGCTACTCCTTTGTACTTTTCGGTGATGTAGGCTTTCACGATTTCAGGAAGGAGTTGGGTTGAAAGTGCGCGCGCTTGCTGTCAAAGCAGTTCCCATTCCCGTCGCCGGGGCAGCCGACGACCGAGATTGCCTTCATACACAGGCGCTTGTCACCTTGACGCGGTAGTGCAGATAGCACGGCAGCTGGGATCGATGACGTGCGGGGCTGTCTGTAGACACGGCGGGTGTCATCCTGACCGTGGCGGGCTCGCGGATGGGCATGCTCGAGCTCGCGCTGAGCTCGTCGGAGCTCTTCCACTTCCAATAGATCCTCGTCCTTTCGAGTAATCTCTTACTTACCGATACTCCGGGCCGCGTCAACGTCGCGCGAGACAATCATACTCCGAAACTTGCTAAACTTGCTCGTGATCCAGAACGCCATAAGCTTCCAGCCGACACTGTCGGAGTCGAACAGGCCTTGGTAAGAGTCGATAAAGCTGATCGCATCGTCAACAAGGTTCACAACCGTCTGAGTGTAAAAATGCTCAGCAAATTTGCGAAGGGACCGCAATGATCTGCTGACATCGGTGCGCGACCTTGACGTTTGAGCTGGGCGCAGCGTGTTGCGTTCCGAGAAGTCCGTAAAGCTGACAGTCGAACCATGGGCATTTACGCGAGTCATCACGTCTGCCGGATGGCAGTGCATCAGTGAGAGTCCATGGACGCCAAATCCAAAGTCGAGAAGGCCACGGCACACGGGTGGCACGGCGAAGAAGGGGGCGTGGACTCGTTGCTGCATACGTTCGAAAATGTAGTTGCACGACTTACCTCGAAATCGCGGGTGTAAAATTGTCCGGCTTACGAGCTGCTATATCGCTGCTGGTCGAAACGCACCCCGACTGGGCTCATTGTCATCGTCGTTTGAGCTAGGCTCGTCGTCCTCGGTACCATAACCAACTCCATAGTCAAGAAGATCGTCGTGTGCCGATGCACCATCCCGTTCCGGGGCTCTTGATCGCTTACCAAGCATACGATTCTGATTGCGCAACGCCTGGATATCATCATCTGTTGCCTTGCTTGTGATACTCAGTAGGTCATCAGGCATGTGAGATGACATGGGTCGTTGTGGTGCAGCTCCGGGGCCTGATCGATCGGTACGTGGCAGTTGCGGGTCGATGTAAATGGCTAGAGCGTTCTTTTTGCGCTGACCCATGAGGCAATCGAGAACGTGCTGCCGTCGTACTTGCACCGTTGCCAGATCGTGGGGGCGGATGAGAGGCACGATTTCCTCGGGTATGAAGGGAACTGTCAGCATGGACTGCACCGACGCTGGTAGCTCTCCTCGACGCCTGCGGCAGGCCATAATCACTGCATTCTGTTGCACGAGAAGCTCCTTGGCGTTGAGAACCATGTCTGTCACTGTCGCCCCAACTTGAAGGGCGTACGTTATCGGGTCGGCCTTGATGATGCGAAGGGGTTCACACAGTCGTTACCGTAGTAACTTCCTGTCCGACCAGCACGCTGAGCGATGGGCCGGCCGCCAACATCTCGTAGCGGATCACGACTCCATATGCCCACTGGCCTGTTGAAGGACCGCTGGGTTGAACGAACGCGACGGGTTGTCCCACGTAATCTCCGGGCCAGAGTTCAGCCTCGGCGGCATCGACGACGCGGAGGTCTATCGCAGCGACTGGAAGCTGGAGTTCGTGGCCATCCTCCCCGGCATCAGGGCCCACAACGCGCACCGCCGCGCTATCTCCTTCAACGTGGAGCACCCGAACGTAGCAGAACTCGGTGAGCGTAGGAGCGTGAGCGGGGCCAATGAAGGCGAGCGAATTGGCGGAAACGGCATACGGGGACATGGTCGCTGGCGTAGATGCAATGGCTGGAGACTAAAGGCGCGGGCTGCTCGAAGAGAAGTCGACTGAAGGACACGTCGGAAACCGCTGAGAAGCTATTTCAGCACCTCAAGGAAGAATTCAAAGTGAGATCTAGACTGCGGCATTCGCCGGCTCCCCACTAATAGCTACATCAGCCTTAGGTTCTTACCGCCTATCGGAAAACTAGTCATCCTCATGGACTGACCCTCACTTCACGACGTTGAGGTAGCCACAACTAGCTGCATTAGTCATGGCAGATACTGCGCACCCGCCTTGGCCGTTCTCATAGAGCCACTTCACCACCCGAAGACATCCACACGTCGCCGCTGTGTTCATCACCGCTTCTGTGCTGGCTTTCCGCCTATTCGCGCGCAGCCATTTGATCACATCCAAGTGGTTGGTCTGCGCTGCTTTGGTCATTGCACTTCGGGTGCAGCCTCCACGACGGTGGTTATGCAGAAACTTCACAACCTCGAGATGCCCGTGACTTGCCGCTGCGTCCATCGTTTCTTTAGACCATTTTCCTTTCCCATTGGAGAGCAGCCATGTGAGCAGCTCTAGGTTCCCTTGCTGTGCTGCTCTGTTTGTGAACTCATCGGGAAGCTTTAGTCCTCGATTCACGTGTAGCCACTTCACGACAGCACAATACATGGGCCTGTTCGCGTAAAATGGTATCTGCAATGCTTGTGAAGTGCAGCCTTCCTTGCGGTTAGAATGGAGTCACTTGAGAACGTCGAGGTGGCCATTGTATGCCGCCGAATCCATCGCATCTGTAGTACAGCCTTCCGATCTGTTTTCGTGCAGCCACTTTACGACTTCCAAGTGGCCTTTCCTCGCTGCGCCGTTCATCGCCTTGGTAGTGCAGCCCTCTGACCGGTTGGCATGCAGAAACTTGACTAGCTCCTGATGACCGTATTCCGCTGCGAAATCCATCACCTCCGTCGTGAAAAGCTTTGAATAGTTCACGTGTAGCCAATGCACCATTTCAAGATGCCCTCTCTTCGCGGCACAATGCAGCACACCATCGGTGAAATCCCAGAACATTATCTCATGGAGCCACTGGACCATTTCGAGAGATTCGAGTGACTGGAGTGACCAATACCACTGGAGCATTGTCGGCTTCTTCTGGTACAAGAGTTCGGCAATTCCGAGATGTCCCGCCTTGACAGCTCGATAGAAAGCGTCCTCAAGGACTGTAACCCATTTTGCGTTCTTCATCAGCCACCTGATGAGTTCCAAGTGGCCTCCCCGAGTAGCAAATTCCAGAGGACGCACTGCGTCAGGGAACAGCTTCACCAGCCAGCGCGCCACGTCCTTGCTGCCCTTGAACGATGCATACTTGAATATTTTCTCCTCACACCACGGAGATATTTTGAATATCTTGGGCTGGCACGAGTGTAGTCACTTGAGCACTGGTAGTTCCGGTGTTTCGACAATGGCTTGGATTGTACGAGCATCCACTGAGTTACGGTACCGCTTGTACAGCTCCTTCATGGCCTCCGGATTTCCTTGTTCCAGCGTCATTTTGCTCGGGATCAGATACATTGCGAGTCGGTATTGACGTAATTTTTTGTGATGAACGAGGTTCACGCTCTCGTCCACAGCCTGAAGCACCTGGAAGAACCGACTTGAGTCACCGCGCTCCAGCAGAGTGGTCAGCGCCCATGGAGTAATGTTCTCTGTGAACGTGTGAATGAGATGCACGGCATGAGGCAGCGCCTCGACGCTGGGCCAGTGGCGGCACACGGCGCGGACCTTCGCTAGAACAAAAGGTTCTTTAGTCTCCTCCATGGTTGTGGCTGCACAGTGAAAATATGTGAATGACCGGTTGGCTGACCAACATGATTGATGCTCTTTCGTAAGACGATACTTAGCCCCAGAATGCCTATCATAAGACAAAGCGTCTTACGTTTTCCGATCAACGCGTTTTGACTACATCTTGGTTTTTGTATACCAGTGGCTACATTGCATATTGTCTGTCAAAACATAAGACAGTTTGTCGGACACTAGTTTGCGCCATACAATTGGCCAAAAGTGTTCAGGTCACAGCGGCATCGTTGCCGCGGACGCGGTGGCAACGTTGAGCGCCGAAACGATGCAGTTGCATGGTGCGGTAGGGTAAGTAGCCTCTTGTTCACACACGAAGCGATGTGCCTGTAGTTGGCCGCTGGCAGCAAGCTTAAATATCGGCATAATGACTGCACGAACGCGTGCATGCAGTCCGTGGAGCTGTTCCACTCAGAGGTGTAGCCGTTGTAGGGCACGGAGTTACGATGAAGTTGGCAGACGTAAACTAAGAGGGACAAATAGCTCGTAACGGTACTACATGTACATTTTAATGTAGTAAATTTTATGCTTGAGCGTACATCATAGTAGTTGTAAAGGCGTGGCAGCCAGGGAACGGTGTTGCTAGTGGGCTTCCCGAGATCCTCCAACCCCCTCTTACCTAATCATTACAGTCCAGCAACAAAATGCAACCACGTACTCTGCAACGGTGATAATACCTAGATCTTATACCTACGACGCTGAGGTGCGGAGGAGCTCCACACTGCTGCGCGGGCGCTCGGCGCGCGCCATATCGCTGCTGGGCTCGACCTTCGGCATCGGTGAGTTACTCGGTATCTCCTGCAAAAAGCCACTGCCTGCAGCCATGCTTTTTGTCGATGCTACAGCGTAGACTGGTTTGCGTATGCGCGCTCTATCCGAATCTCCATCTTCTATGTAGTGTTAGTACTTTACTGTAGAAAGGAGAGTTGGCGTGGTGGGGTGAACGACTGTTGTCGTTCACCCCAGTAAAGCGAAGAAACATTGCTACACTACGGGAACAAACGGTCGCATGATAACTGTGCTATGATGTCCTTACATTCCATTCCTGGCAAGTATATTTAAATCTTCTAGCAGGAGGTTAGTGCATGGCGTCAGGATCAAAGGCCCGGACATTTCAAGGGGCATTTTTCAAGTGTGCTGCCTCTAGTAAAGGAGGCAAAATGCGCACACAGATAAATCAGTCCAATTTACGAGCCGAGATGCAGCAACACTCGAGACTACATAATACAATATTAACCAATGAAATTGCTACATTTGATTTGTCGTCAAACTGTCTTACGAATGCTCGACACAAGTGATTGATGCCAGAATTATTTTCAAGAAAAAATAAACGAAGAAAAATATGAAGTAATTGTGCTATAAGGTGCATGCATTTAATTCATTTAATCTGAAAACCTGCGCTTGCGTGGGTTGCCGTAGTGGTCCTTGTACCATTGCACCACTTCGGGGTGCTTGTTACCGTCTCCAGTATAAAAGACTGTTGGGTTGCGAAGAAATCTGTCTCCTTGTTCATGAACTCCAGCATATCAATATAATCGTTGCGAGCTGCATAAACCGCAAACTACGGCAAGAGCTTCATCCCCAAGTGGAAGTGAAGCCAATTCGCAGTCTCAGTGTGGCCATGCGACTGCGCGTATGCAATTGCTTTCTCAGACCAATCCAGTGAGTAGTTCGCAGCCAAAAACTTCACAATCTTGAGGTAGCCGCCATCAGCTGCCAAACTCAAGGCGGACGCTGTGCACCCGCCTTGACCGTTCTCGTGGAGCCACTTCACCACTTGGAGATGGCCACGAGTCGCCGCCGCATCCATCGCCTGTACTGTGTTGGTTTTCCGCCTGTTGGTACGCAGCCATTTGATCACATCCAAGTGGTTGTGATGGGCTGCTTTGGTCATCGCACTTTTGGTACACCCTTTCTCAAAAACACGGTGTTCATGTAGAAACTTCACAACCTCAAGACAACCGTGGCTTGCCGCTTCATCCACCGTCTCCTTGGACAAAATGCCTTTACCAGTACTGTGCAACCATGACAGCAGCTCGACGTTCCCTGCCTGCGCCGCTCGGGTAACGAAATATTTGGGAAAATTTAGGCCTCGATTCTCGTGCAGCCACTTCATAACATCAAAGTACAAGTTCGTGTTCGACCAGAAGAATGATGCCTCCATCGCTTGTGAAGTGCAGCCCTCAGTGCGATTGGCATGGAGCCACTTGACGACGTCGAGGTGGCCGCGGTTGGCCGCCGAATTCATCGCATTGGTAGTGCAGCCTTCCGATCGGTTTTCGTGCAGCCACTGCACGACTTCCAAATGGTTGTTCCCCGCTGCAGAGTCCATTGCCTTGGTTGTACAGCCTTCCGAGCGATTGGTATGCAGAAACTTGACCAGCTCTAGATGCCCATACTCCGCTGCGATATCCATCGTCGCGGTCGTGAAAAGGTTGGGATAATTCGCATGCAGCCACTGCACCAATTCCAGACACCCCCACTTCATGGCAAGATGCAATACAGAGGTACTGAACCCCCTAAAGTTGTTCTCATGGAGCCACTGCATCATTTCAAGCGACGGAACGGATTGAAGCCAACGCGATTTGTCCATTGTCGGCTTGTACTCGTATAAAAGTTTGGCAGTCTCGAGATGATCTGCCATCGCAGCTTTATAGAAAACCTTCTCTAGAGAGTCTGTGGCCCATTTTGTGTGTTTCATCAGCCACTTGGTAAGGTCCGTGTGTCCTCCAGCAGCGGCAAACTCCAAACTTCGTACTGCGTCAGGGAACAGCTTCACCAGCCAGCGCACCACTTCCGCCCGGCCTTCCATTGAGGCGCACTCAAATATTTTCTCTTCGCACCACGAGAAAATCTTGAACATCTTAGGCTGGCACGAGTGCAGCCACTTGAGCACCGGTAGTTCCGGTGTTTCTGAAGCAGCTTGGATTGTACGATCATCCACCGAGTTACGGTACCGCCTATACAGCTCCTTCATCGCCTCCAGTTTTCCTTGTTTCAGTGTCATTTTGCTCGGGATCAAATACATCGCGAGACGATATTGGCGCAGCTTCTCGTGATGCGCAAGGTTCTTGCTTTCATCCACAGCCTGGAGCACTTGGAAGAAAAGACTTGGCTCACCACGCTCCAGCAGATTGGTCAGCGCTCTTTTCGAGATGTCCTCAGTGAACGTGCGAATGAGTTCCACGGCATGAGGCAACGCCTCGACGCTGGGCCAGCGGCGGCACACGGCGCGTCATCGTGCGTGGCCATGTCTGCCAGCCAACTGCCATGAGAGGTTTTCACAGCACTTGACGTGACACCACACAACTTCAACCTCTTCTACACCCCTATCTTCCAGCATATGGCTCCAAATCATTCTCTTCCACAGGCTTGACGTGCCCTCCACCTGACAAATTACCCGTCAGCTTCCCTACGTATACTCAATTTCCATATGCGGGATACGACCATCACTCTTTCGTACTTAGCCCGAACAAGATCGATGTTGAATGCGAACAGTAGCGCTGCTCGAGTCTCTTCGAGGCTCTTCGCGCACGAGGTCTCTCAGCCTTCTGCATGCCCAAGTCAAACTTGCGTTGCTCTCATTAGATTAGCCCCGTAGCAATTGCATCACGCGAGCCCACTAATCCATGCGCACAACTCTACCTCTGTTGACTTCCACAGCTAAATACTTCTGCTCTTTCTTTCAAGGTGCTACATGCCTCCGTCATTAAGAAATTGCAGAGTTATCTTGGATCTCAATATGTGAATTTTGCTTTTTCCCGTGCACTCTTCTTTACCAGAATTGTAGTGGTTTTACTGCAATTGTTTCCGGCCGGAGGAATTACTCGCCTCTTCCGGCAGCTCTATTGGTCACCAACTTGGTGCTGCTCAATGCGAAAGCTACTTTCCTCTTTCTGCAGGCTGCCCATGCTTGCCTCCCCGACGGCAAGTGTGCGGTACACCATGTTTCTAACTCGCGTTTTTAAATGGCCGGGCTGTACCAATTGAAGCTCAAGGGCAGTGAAAGCCTCTTCCCAGCTGCAACTGGTACAGCTCCATATTTTGGACTGAATCTCATTGGCCGAAAGGGCCACTTAAACGAGTGACCTGTGTACTTTAACAAGTGAGGTGGGCGTCCCTTCGTGCGAGTGGCCCTACCGCTGTATCCCGTAAAAGTGTATTTCTATAGTGCAATCCACAATGGCCGTGACAAACCATGAACTTTAGCCGGGGTAGTACCGTTCTTTGCTGAAAAAATATTCAAAAGTGAATGGCTTCAAAGCGAGATTCAATTGAGAGGTGGAATTTCTGAATCTGCCAATTCACAAATATGAAGGGTCGTCCCATGGAAGTCTTCCGTACGGGCAGAGTATACACATACCAAGACAACGAAAGAAACAGTATAAAACATTTGCTGATGACGGGTGCGATAGCACGGATAGTTCCTGTGGTACGGTATCACGGAACTAATTCGTTTGTGATAACTGCCAGGTCTTCCTGAGTACCGCAACGGAGGGCTCTTTGTGGAATTCGGCGTGGTCGTGGCGAAGTCGCCGAATATCCTGACGGACGAGCTCGATCCGAGCACTGAAGTCATCATCGAGTGGCGGGCTCTGACTGTAGCGATTTTGGACGAATTGCACAAGGTCATTCTTGAACGCCTCGATTTTACTGCCGACTTCTTCCCACTCGTGAAGCTACCCAACCGTGCGATATTTTTTGTTTGGTGGAACAAGTTCTCGTTACTAATTTGCTGCGCGCACTAGATGGTCGAAGGGGGAAGCTGGAAGGCTGGGCGCGTTATCGCAAAGGAGAAGCGAACCGATGGTGGACCACCGATTGAAATCAAGAGTGACAGTACAGTCTTTTAATCGCTTGTGCAGCTACTGCTTCGGTGTGAACTCGAAAATAAAGAAGAATAAAACAACAGCATTGTTTTATCGTTTTATCTTATCATATTGCATTTATAACAAAGTAGTACTAAGTACAAAGTTACGAACAGCCTACATGTCTAATCGCAAGTTGAGAGTTAAAAAGATCCAACTCGTATTGAACCATTTCAAGAGCTAACATGACTATTCGCGAAAAGCTATGATGAAATCTTACTAAATGGCTACTGGTCCTTCTCCTGAGGTTTACCAGTATTTTGAAGCAATCAGAAGCGGGAAATATCTTATGAGCCACAACATCGCAAAACTATATCACCATGTAGGTTGTTGCACGACGTCGCGTACTTAGTATCCCACTATTTTTAAAAATGAAAGCAGCCGAATTGTGTCGCTCGGATAAGACTACATGCAGAGCGCCGAGGCATCCAATCCACGAACTGGCGTTTTGACTTGGTTTGGCATGGGAGAACAGACAAGCTCAACTTAATCGAGAGATGAGGGGCTACAACGCCGATAACACTAAGCATTTTCACAAGTAAAACTGTTATTCGCGTGAAGACAGGTCTTCCATAAAGCCCAGGTGTTTCCCGGGCAAACAGGCTTATCACGTTGCTCTTCGTACTAGTAATTAATTAACAAATCTCCATCCGATATTTCACGCCAACTCGGGATGCGTTCTCATGTAATTCGAATTCCGATACGCAAGAAACTCACTCAAAGCTTAGGATATGAGCAGGTGCTGCTACTTTCCGTATATTCCAGCTTAATGGTACAGCATGCACCGGTTGTGATCAAATGTATGTCGAAGCCTCATTCCTTAATTCGCTGCGGACCACCAACATGAAGCCTCCACCCAAGCTTCAGCCATGCGTCTGAGCTACGCCATCGTGACCGCTGTCCTTTCAAGCAGCAGCACTGCGTCGGGAGAAGTGGGCCCCAAGCCACTGCAATTTCCAGCTGCGCGTTCAATTGACGCTGCTCTCTGGAGTGAGTGTGCGAGGTGTCTGGCCAGAGGACTCTGCGCAGCCACGACGACACCTACAGCAAGGGTGAGCTGGACGTCACTGAGACTGATGACGAAGAGAGGGGTCTTGAGTTTTTGAAGAAGATCAAGATGAACACTGCCAAGTGGGCCAAGGCGAAGATGACGAACCACAACTTGCGACGCGCGGAGAAACTTGCTGCCAGGGAGAAGAAGTTCCAAGAGGATATCGGTCTGCTGGAGAGATTGCAGAATAACCAATTCAAGGAGTGGAACCAAAACGGATGGGGCTTCGACCAGGCAAGAGCATTCTTGAAGAGGGAAGGGTTCCCCGACAACGCTATCGACGGCATCTTGTACTGGTACAAGCCACCCAAGAAATAAAAAAACATAGCAGTTGATTGGGGGCCGCATCGGAGCACAGAGTCTAGGTATTGTATTGCCTTGTTCGTACGGACGTAATTTCAAATTATAGACGAATCTTCGCTCCACCATGCGAATGACACTTGCTCTTCGATTGAACACTTTTGCTACATCCTGGGTGAGAACAGTGGATTCCTCCGCCATGCGCGATGCATGTTCCTCCTTGCTGTGCGTGCTTCAAACACCCTTGTTCCGAGCACCTCTTCCCCCCACCGTGACTGTAGCACTTGCCTCCTACTCGAGCTTCACCCGAACATCCCAGCTCCGAGCACATTCTCCCTCCTCCATGCTCAAAACACTTCCCTTTCGACACCGAATGCTTGACACAACCAGGAAACTCACACGGTCGGCGACATCGCTTGCGATCTCCATGAGCCACACAGCGGCCGTCCATATAGGCTTGGTTGGTGCATCCAATGTGGGAGCACATGTAACCCCCTCCATGTTGAAAGCACTTTCCCCCAGTCAACGCGTGCTTGGAGCAGCCCGAATGGGAACACTTCTTGTCTCCGCCGTGGGCGACACACAGCCCCTTGAACTGGGCACAATTGGTACATCCAGGGTACGAGCAGCGTCTACTCCCCCCGTGGGCAGCACACAATCCCTTGACTCGAGCGCGGTTGTTGCAGTTTGGGAACGAGCAGCGTTTGCCCCCGCCATGTTGGAAGCATTTGCCTTTACTCACGACCTTCTTGGTGCAGTTTGGGTCGGAGCAGAAGTTGCGCGCGCTTGGATATTTTTGCGTGTCAGCTGTGGCTGTTGGCGGATTTTCGATTAGCAGTGGCACCACTGAGAGGTTCCCTTGGTCTTGAGGGGGTGCCATGGGCATGGTGATGCCAGGAGAGGCCATTGACGCGGTGCTGACGAAAGCATCGGCCTCCATTGTGAGATTTTGTGGAATTGAAAAGGATCTTTCAAATGAGGAGCATAAGAGCAGGTAGCTTGCTGCAAAAATGTAAGATGGCTACAGCGCACGCTGTAGGCATGCATTGTGCTGGCCAAAATACTTCGGACCAAGATTTGTAACACAGTAGTTCCCTCATCGATCCCACACTGCAAATAATACACTCTCCAGAGCCCACTTTCCAACTGACCGTCCAGCTGAAGACACGCGCTGAGTTTTCCTAACCATGCGCCCGGCGAACCTCCTTCTTTTTGCGATACTAGTACTCACTTTCAGTTCGAGCATTGTCGAGTTCGCAAGTGCTAAGGACCAGCCTCGTAAAAACAAGCTTCCTCATCCGAGCTAGAGTTGTAAAGAAGTAAAATACTTAGAAAGGGTTAAACACACTTAAAAAATTAAAAACGTTAAATACCGTAAAATACTTTCCGCTGACTTGTCTATTTTTGTTGCGCTTTATACGCTTTTGTAATTATTAGATTCTTGGCAGGAGTCACAGGCGATATGAGCGACGTCCAGCTATTGATTGTTTAGTCACTGTGCAAGCTACCCGCTTCATCGTTTTCCCTCTAAGGATACACCCGCACCCTTCATGCTCTCGTTTCTTAGTCGACGAAGTCTCTGGCTGCCTTGCGAGTTTTAGCCAGTGCGATGGACGACTCTGGGGCCGGATCGTCTCAGTTTTGCGACTAAGCTGCAGCTCGATTAGCGCTAGTCGCCATGGTTCGACCTGAGCACGAATAGCAGTTCTTGATGCCGTTCAATGCCCTCAGGTTGAAGAAACTGCGTTGCTGGGGCGCGAAAATCGTGTTTCTTCCGTCAGGCCACAATCGTAAATACATCATAGTGCTCATCTGAATGATTGCTGCATTTGATTACGTTTGCTCAAGTACTTAACGGTATTTAACGACTACCTATCTGCATTTAACGCAGACTGAATGAAGTCCACCGACCCCATGGAAATCGAGATAGACATCATCAGTGCGCTCACCCGCGTATTTCAAAAGCTGAAAGATTCCACTTCAGTTACAACGGGTAAACACCCCAGCGTCGAAGAAGAAGAAAGAGGCGGTAAAGTTTTGGCAAACTCGCTGGAGGTATTTCTACAAAAGAAGATGCCCAACCTTCCTAAGGGGTAGGTCCGGGGCATCCTGGCGAAGTTGGATGCAAACCCCGACTTGAGGCGCGAGGTTCATTTCTACTTGAATTTGACCTCACTCGTACTATCGAGCTCGACAATTGCGATCGACGTCCTAAAGGATATGGTGAAACACTGTAACAAAGTGCGGCGAGAGGTGAAAGAACAGGTAAACCTTCACACGAAAGGTTTTAGGGGGAATGCCACTAAAAAGGACGCTGGATCTTACAAAGGAAAATGTACCTACCGGTAGAGGTATTTTCCGTTCTCGTTACATGGTGCTGCATTGATTAGTCGTATTCATATCGTCCTCTAGAACGCAGTTAAATAATATCGCCTGAAGTACTCGTCCGCTAGCACGTATTACTAGTAATTTGCCTGTGGATCTGGGCCAATTGACGACCCCAACTACCGGGAACTGCTTCATTCAGTGCTGTCGGAAGCTACTAGAGCCCTGAAACAAATGTAGGAGCTTGATTAACCAAACTACCATAGAATACTTGCAAATGCAGTGATACTGGGCCGCAAACTCGTGTCTGTTGCGATGAAGTTGGCTGAGTACAAAACAATTGTGGTCGATAGTCGGGGCTTTAGCTGTAGGACATTTCAATACAGAAAGTTGTGCGCGAAGAAAACTTCCAGTACGACAAGGACAAAAGTATTCGGGAATAAGGCGCTGAAAGTCAAGAGATAGCGTCCAGCGCATGGAGGAAGCAGGCGCTGCTGGTACCATGGATGTATGATCCTTACGGAGCCGCGCCCCGCACAATGGGCTCACGGCGATGGCAGGGATGCTCCGATTTGGGCTGAGCGTGTTGACCACGTGTGGAGGAATATGTTTCGGACACGGACGGGTACTTGTATACTGTACTACGTAGTAGTATTGAATGCACCAAGCACACCTATGTTGACGATTGTTGCTCATGAAGGTCACAAGTGATGCCTCTGACAGAGTGAGCCCCGGAATAAGGATACAGTTTCAAACATGGCAATATTTGGGGGCATGGAGGTGGAAGAAACTCTTGTAGATACGCCATCGTCTCCATATCCTGCTTGAAGCTCTTCTGCTTTTCCGCGAGCCTCTCCGCTCGACGCAGCTTGTGGTCCGTCCACTTCGCCTTGGCCCACTTGACAGGGTTGATCTTGATCTTTTTCAACAACTCGAGAGTCGTCTCTTGGTCGTCAGCATCGGCGACATCCAGCTCGCCCTTGCCGTATGTGTCGTCGTGGCTGCGCAGCGACCTCTGGCCAGCGACCTCGGCACTCTCACTCCAGAGAGCAGTGTTAACTCTGCGCGCAGCAGGAAACTGCGGTTGGTTGAGGCCCGCCTCTCCCGAGGCAGTGCTGATGCTTGAAAGGACGGCGACCTAGACAAGAGGTGATGGTGATGAAGTGGCCCGCTCGTTCTCCGGACCTTAATCCGATAGAGAACTTGTGGGCCATTTTGTCGCGCACGGTGTACGACAACGGCAAGAACCAGTACTCCAGTGTGTCCGAGTTGCGCGAAGCGGTTCTGGCGGCGCGGGAATCTGTCGACCAAGCGACCCTGGCAACCCTGGTGGACTCCATGCCCAAGTGGCTCGTCGAAGTACTGGAAAAGAAAGGAGGAAATACACACTACTAGTTGACCCACATTCATAACATATGAATTTTTGTATGGTCCAATCTGCGTGATAATTGTGTCACTAAGCCATATTTGTCTGGTTGTATGTGAGCCCCACCACAGCCATGGAAATGCCGATCGTTAACACAAGCGCGGGGTCCGTAACGGTAGTAGCGGCAACATATCTAAAACACAGCTCCTAACTCTAAATATTGACTGAGATATAGCTACAAACTCGGGTGCGTAATTGCACTTGGTGGGGAGTGTAGATTCTCTCACCTGGCGAGTGCAGTGCTCGGCTCGCTGGAATGCTCGTCGCTGGGCCCGCCTCCGTAAATACCGCGCGGCCCTGCTTCGCGGGCTCCCCGCGCGGGTTTGCTGCTCACCTCTGTTGGCGCCCTGTCGATGAAGTTACTGCGTCGCCCCGCCATGGAGTGGTGCTCAGGCATTTTGTAGTGCTGTGTGCGATTTCTGTCGGTGTTTATGTAATTTTCTCGTGGAGATGCTCTTATCTCCAACTCTTTGAACGAACCTTGGTGAATTCCAGGTGTAATGGTATCGCATTTTACTATTTATCCTTAGGTCATTGTATGTCATCACATTCAGCCATTGGGAGCCTTCCAAACTCTGTAATTCATCGACATAAAATGATTATCCAAATTCATCTCTAAATAAACTGTGCAGAGGTCGAGAGGTCGGGCTTTATGCCTTCAAGTTGCTAAATGAGGGAGGTGTTTACTTTAATCAAGTTCACATTTATGTAGTTGCACAATGCGGGAGCGAAGTGACCCTTCGTTTATTCAGACGTGATTTACGTCTCATCAGAATACGTTTTCTTAAATCCGTTTATGCAGAAGTTTAATACCGTTTTGGAAGGCTTCCAATCACAGTCCTCCTGATTTCACACGTACAGTATCGCTGATTTTAGAAAATATACATTGAAGCACGATGCAGCGCCATATCGCAACACGCAATCTCCGAGTTTTAAATCGAAGGTTCATTCCGTTGAGTAAAATGATAGGCTTGAGCCTTGTTAACCAACAACATATGAAGGTCAGTCGATGTAAGACGATGACCAATGTAAGGCATACTTGACTTTGATCCATTAGTTTTTTATTGGAAATTGGGGCTTACTTACATCGCGCATACCTCAATAGTCGTTAATACAAGGCTGTGTTGGAGATGGCACCAAAGAGCTGTTTCGTGCGCATGCGGCGCACAAAATAGCTGCTTTGAGCTTTTTGAGTTTTACACCAAAGCTTAGAAAAGTCTCAGGTTCATCAAAACCGCTGCTTTTGAAATTCGTGGTAGATGAACTGTAGGGCTATTTTCCCACGAAGCAGCTAGTTCTGTAGACACATGTGGGTACTGTACACAGCCCCCTCTATTGCATAACGCTACAGAACTCCCCTGCTTACCCTCGCCTGCATAAAGTCTGGAACCTCGCACAGATAGTACAAATCACTGTTGTCAGCATCCATGCACATCCGTGCATAAATTCACCATATACTGATTTAACTGAAAACGGGAGGGAAAGTGTTGAGTGCGGGAAGCTTACACAATAGCTATGCGCCGCAATGTTGTAATAAATCAGTATGTTTAGCCTCCTTTTCAATTCTCTTAACCTTGCAAGATTTATTGGTCCCACCTTTTTTGGCTAAGGCAGGGAGTTCTGTACTGGTATGTTTGTACTGTACAAACTTTGTAGTGACGACGCATCGTGACCCACGATACTGTACACGTCAAGAATAACTTTTTCGTCAGAATGAATCGCTGGCTTGTTTTACTATTAAAATACCGGAAAAACCATGATTACTGTGCGTTTGTTTGCTTTGAGCTGGGATTGTACACATGTACGTTATCCGCCCCAAGCTCAGCACCAAGAAGTCCACTTTCGCAGTCATCACTTCAACTGATTACTGCACTTTTCGTTGACGTATTCATGTGCGATGTGCGACACACCATGTACCTGTTTCCCGGTACATTTCCTTCAACTGACGCATGCACTTCCGATCCTGCCGCTCACAAGTTGATCTGCCCCCGAGCGCTCACTTCACTCCAACTCAGACCCTTCACCAGCCATGCGGAGCTACAAGCGCCTCGAAGTGCACACCAAGTCCACGGACTTCCGCGCAGCCACGCGCCTTGTGGAGGAGCCGGAGCTGCCCAAGGCCAGCGCCAACTCGATCGTGGTCAAGAACCATTACGTGGGCATCAACGCCACCGACGTGAACGTGACCAACGGCGCGTACACGGGCCCCCTCCCTCCTCCGTTCGGCTGCGGGTTGGACGCTGTGGGTGTCGTGCTAGACGTAGGGGAGGGGGTAACCGACGTCAAAGTGGGGGACGCAGTTGCTTACCGAAGTAAGAGAAACCGCCGTGTCTTTTGGATTTCTGAAACGGTTCTTATGTTACCTTGTGTTCGTTCATATTACTGCAGAGTTGGGCGCCTTTGCCGAGTACAACGAGGTGGACATGGCAATGGTCCAGAAGGTGCCGACCCCGACGCCCGACGTGCTGCCGCTGATTGTGTGTGGCAGCTCCGCGTCCATCGCGTTGGAGCAGGTCGGCGAGATGAAGTCCAACGAGACTGTGCTGGTCACGGCCGCGGCCGGCGGCACTGGCCAGTTCGTGGTGCAACTGGCCAAGCTGGCGGGCAACCACGTGATCGGCACCACGAGCTCGGACGCCAAGGCGGCTCACTTGAAGTCCATCGGCTGCGACCGCGTAATCAACTACAACACGGAGAATGTGGACGAGGTGCTCAAGACGGAGTACCCGAAGGGAGTGGATCTCGTGTTCGAGACGGTGGGCGGGGACCTGTTCCGCACTATCGTGGACAACATGGCTGTCAAGGGCCGGATCATTGCGTTTGGCCACATTTCCGGCTATCATGGCGCCAAGGACACGTTCACGGCCAGCGACCTGGTGCCCAAGCTGATCTTCAAGTCGGTGTCGCTGCACGGTTTCATCTCGGGCCACTACCGCGACCAGTTCTACCCACACATGCAGAAGCTGCTGAAGCTGATCGACGAGAAGAAGCTTGTGCCGGGGGTTGACCCCGTCAAGTTCGAAGGACTGGAGAGCGTTGCCGACGCTATTGACTACATGTATGCGCGCAAGAACATGGGCAAGGTTGTCGTCAAGCTGGCGTGAGCAGATTTACTGAGCGTGAGAGCTCCATGGATTCTCTTTTTATTTTAATCGATTCGAAGAAGTCGTGTAGCCACAAGAAATGTGAAGTTCTTGTAAGCTTGAAAGTACCGACAATCGTCTTTTCGCCAAAGTGCTTGACGACGGCTTATCAGCCCCTGAAGCTTTGGACGCAATACAGTTTAAGGTTACAAGAACACCAGAAACCGCCAGTGTGCACAACTTCATGCTTCATGAAATACAGGTAATACGAAAGTCACAGCTATGCGGCAGCGCCGAGCATTCCAGCGAGCCGAGCACTGTACTCGCCAGGTGAGATAATCTTTTTATCACAGGAGCCCAGCGACTGCCTTTGCGCAGTGCAGCGCAGCAAAGCCCATGATCCTATACAAAAATCAAGCTATCGGTTTTCGCTGTGCTGTACTAATATCCTCTGTCACGTATATGACGGTGGTTGTGTAAAATATGGTTCGCCAACTCATCTGACCTAGTTACCGTAATCAGAAGCGAAGACTTGCCGTTGCTTAATTGACTTGAATTGCATCCAAGTTGGCAGTACATACACGGCACCCGAATGAGCTAGGTAAATTAAAACATGTCTTCCGAGTTTGTTACAACCGCAGTTCATCACGAAGACATTGCTTGGGACCATCGCAGTAGCAAATCGGATCTGGGGATCGCGATGCAAGATACAGTGTATTATATTGTACAATCACTGTGATTGTGATTGAATCACTGAAGTATTTCGAAGGGTGGCGTCGAACTTTGCTGTGTTAAAGGGCCAATACTGCGAAGCCGGCTGGCATATGAGTACATGTACTATTGTACAGTAATTTGCCTCAATAGCGCAGTCGTGGCATCGAATACCCTGCTGAAACGAGTATCTGTGCACACCCCAAATCCAGCCAATGAGAGTTCAGCTAGCCCCTCCTATGCAATTATCTTAGAGAATGTATAAATGTAGCCATTGCGCTATTGAGGGAAATTACTGTAATAGCGCCATTGAGTTCGTAACAATTGGCTGTCTAGGTACAGTCCTCGCCTCGCAATCGAATGGAGCGAGCTCTGGCGCGGATCTTCTGCACATATCCTATCCTGCTTCGTGATCCTCAGGTTCCGGATGTTCAAACAACGTGATTCCCGGACAGAGCCTCTTTGGCGACAAGGGACCATTCATTTGGCAGCCATCACTTCCAGATACTCTCTCCAGCGCTGAAGTCGAAAAACGCCCTGTAAACCATGCGCCTCGCCTCACTGCTACTTGGTCTCACTGCTGTGCTCCTGGCAACTATCAACGCTAACGCTTCCGCCGCAGACAAGACCATCCCGCAGGGCAATGCCGTCCAAAACGACAACCAAGCGAAGCTGTTTTTGAGAAGTGATGACGGCTACAAGTTGGATGCCGAGGGGAACGCTGAAGAAAGGGGTATTTTGACTGGGAAGGAGGTGGTTAAGCTGCCGACCGACCGCTTAAACACGTACATCACGACTGGCGCCAAGTTGCCTTCGGGAATTAAGTTGACCGATGCCGACCACTTAAACACGCGACTCGCCAAAGGCGATAAACTGTCCTCGGGGGTTAAATGGACCAAAAACGCCCAAGCGCTGAAGAAACGATTGATGACGCGCCTAAGGGAGTGGCGGAAGAGAAGCAACGCGTAGACTCGGCACGATGAATAGCTGTAGTATGTTTGACTACCTTATGCTAGAACGTTTCTACCATCTACAATTTACCCTACATGTATCACATTGCGAAGCAAAGATTTTTTTACTTACTGTAAATATGCAACTATGGGGAGAAAAAAAATAATTACCTGCAAAGTAAGGGGAATGAAGGCAAAACAATACTAGTACTGTAGTAGTACTTATCCATTGCATGAAACTACAAAATACATGTATTGCACTCATGTTTTTGTTTCAGTGACCGACTAGCATACTATATGTAGCTGCAGCGACTTCGATTCCGTTGGTCTCGTGTATTTAACTAGACGGACGTGTCTTGGCCCATTCTTGTCAGCCCTGACGTGCATCAGAGAAGCTTTCAGTTTCCCGTCCCCGATAGAGCCGCCTCTGGCTAGCACCGTGATCTCATCTTCTGAAAGTATCCCGCCCCACATCCACGATGCCTTGATATCCGTACCATCCCGGGCCGTCGAGGAAATCGGAAGCGCTGAATCCAGTCCCGACCTGCGCGAACGTCATGAAGTGCCACTGATAACGCCACAAACCCGCCTTCTCTTGCACTTTCACCCCATTGAAGTACACTTCTTGGAGCTGGGCACCGTGGTCGTAGGTTAATGCGACGAGATACCACCGATTGGGCTCCAAAGCTCGAGCCACCACGGGTTGAGCAGCTACCACCGAGCAGTAGAGATCGCCTTTGGAGTCCACCATCACGGATGGTTGAGAGTAGTGCGGCCACTCGCAGCTCTCTCGACTTGACGACTGAAGTCCGTAGATAACGCCGCCAAACCGCTCTCCTGGCAGGAGGCTGAAGCAGAGATCCAAGCTAAAAACTCTCGCCGCCCATGTGGGTTAGCTGGAAGCGCCCAAGTTGTTGCTTGTCCCCTCTGTACGTGAAGTACGCGAAGGAACCCAGAAGCTCCGGGTCGTCGTCGGCTTTTGGAGCCTTGAACAGCATCGACCGCGACTGAATCTACTGCTTCTTCCACGACAGCTCTCCGTTGCAGGTCTTTGGGCCAACTAAGCACCTCCTCCAGAACGACTCATCAGATAGAAAATCCCGCCACCAAACGTTCGTGAGCGACAAGTTGAAGGCGTCGAAGCCAGTGAAGTAGCCGCACAACACATCAACCAGTTCTGCGGGCAGTTCCTCCGACGGCCCAGGGGCTTGTCATCTTCAAGTAGCTGCGTGCTCCGTGGCTAGAAGAAAAATGACTTGAGCGGCATTGTCGGTGGCTGCAGGCGCTGGTGTCCACTCACTCCTGGGGATGAAGCGACGAAGAAGATCGCGCCGAGTCCATTCCAACGGCTCGGGATCCGAAACTCCTACACCAAAATGCTGCTAGGAACTCAGGTTGAGGCAAAGCTTCGACTTGGCCTAGCGAATAGTTGACGATCGACTTCTTTGGCGCTCGAAACCTGCGCTTGCTGCATCTGTAGACCTCGGAAACAGCAGCGTTATACCCAGCACACGAATGAGCAGCATGGAGTGATGTTTATCTTCGGGTTTCCAGCTAACGAGACCTGGTCCAAAATAGCACGCAAAAATTCATCGCGCACTTGTGAGCGGGGACTTCGCCCTGGATTTCGGCACGAAGAGATCATGACGAGTAGGAATAAAACCAGAAGGGAGAGAGTACGTAAATGCACTGCTAGGATGGCCTTTGTTTTTTGCGATGCAACCTGCGGTGGACATCATTTTCCGCCGTCTGAGGACCACGTTCTTGCAACGCATCAAGAAGTCCTACGACTCGGCAACTAAGTTTATGCTTGGCCGACTTTGGGGCATATAACATGACATGGTTGATCATCAATCGACTGCAAACCCGGTATACCTATGCTGTATTATAAATCCGCCCCGGAATCGTCTTCTTGGCACTCAAAAGAAAAACTCATCCGATCACCTTTGGCATTCACCATCACGAATTGTTGATACTGGTGCGGCCACTCGCAGCTCTCTCAGCTCGACGAGTGTAGTCGTCTTCTTCGCTCTCGTCCAGCAGATAGTTCTTCGTCTGGGATCAAACCTTCACTTGGACTCGCCCGCTTGTGAAGGGAAAGTGCGCGGCACTTTAGAGAAAGTGGCATAGCTAAGTTCGCTTGAAAAAGAGTACTGGCCCGCTCACGAGGTGCCTTAACTGCGCGGCAACTGCCCACCTCGTGCATCCTGAAACCGAACATCATGGTCATTCTCCGTGCTCGAGACAACATATCGACGTTGCCATAGCACGTCGCTGACACCCTTTGAGCACACAACGAACGAACCCGTGTCGGTAGCACATGTCCAAGTAGTAAGCTTGATGTGGGCAGTTCAAGATGCGGCATTTCTTCGCTCACGTCAATTGTAGCGACGTAACAACGATGCAGGATGACAGTGTGAGCAGCGCTGCCCTGGATGGGACGGTCAAGCGTTGTATGGAAGCTAGAATGGTTAGGCAGTGGCACAAATAGCGAGAAACAGAGTCAATATGCAAAAGCAATCAACTTGTTCTCTCCAGTGCAGATTCACGACTGACCCTACTTCCTTACCGCGCACGGAGCCTGACAGCTCGTGCTTCCTTCTTCTTTCGGCTCTCTGTCGGCTCACGTGCCGACTTCAACACGTCACCGGCTCACCTGGCTCTCGTCTCACCCCTTCGTCCTTGGCTCTCCTCACAGCTCACGTCCTGAGCCACGCGGTGCTCGTGACCTCCGTCCTGCCCTTCGCGTCACTGCTCACCCATCGCTCGCGTCACTGCTTCCATCGCAGCCGAGCGCGCCATCTAACCGACGCGTCGCCAGTCAGCGCCCCTCCGAAATGGATGACTGACCGCTCACCGCATCGTCCAATAGCTGATCCTCGAGAAGTCGATCGCTGGTCGAACGGTCGTCCGTGTAGTAGGAACGGTGGTGACCGTTCCTACTCGGGACAGCTAACTGCGAGCTTGGTAGCTGCATGCACAAGGTTTCGACGCCAAGCAACCCCCACAATGTTGTTTGAGTAGGTGGCAGGCAAGGTGAGGTCAATGGACCCGTTAGCTCATGTGTTTATCTGGGTACCGGTCAACACAGAGCGCCTTCAGGCTCAGCTTCGGCAGAAAAGTGGGTCATCCCTCCCACAATTTCAGACCAAACGTCATGTCATGTCAGAACAAGACAATCGAAAAAGCTAACCGCTACGAATAGCACAGAACCACCCATCACAGACTACTTACGGTAGTAACGCTATCGACTACTTTCGCTACCGGTACTGCAACTCTACAGTCCGTAAGTGATGACCCCGAAGTACTCATCGATCGAACTGGCAGGAGACTGGATCAGGGATCGACGCTGGCCTCAAGAGACGCATCGGGAAGTTGAAGGACACGTATGGAGCGCTCTCAGCTCGACGTCTTCTGAAGACCCCATCATTCTGGAACATTGATACAGTCTTTTGGGAACAGTTAGAAATACGGCCTTTAGATATTTTTAGAAACGTTAAAAACTGTGACGCGCGCATCGATTGGCTGCCCACTTCTTTAACACCTGGGCTGGCCGCTCAACAGCATGATAGTATCAGCTCATGGCTGCTCCAGAAGATACCCCCCCCCCCTCGCGAGAGCGGCCGACAGAACGCTAAAGTATAGTGCAGTGCACGCCACGGGGGAATTGTGTGAATGTCAGCCAGCCACAGCTTGGTCATCCGAAATTAATGAGCGTGTTATGAATCGGCTCCGGTTGCAGCCGTTAGCGCACACGGTGGTGCCTTGGCGCACTGGAGGGGGCGTCGCAGGAGCGACGGTGCGGACACTGCCCTGGAAGAAGCCGAAGGAAGGAGAGACAAGGTCCTGGGAGGAGGACAGCAGGGGACAGGAGTTGAAGTGCAACGAGTGGTTGGGAGCTCTGGAGACGCTGCCCAACATGCATGCGTAGCAGTAGGAGTAGGAGCTCAGTCTAATATCTACCACGTGCGTGTCAAGTCGTGCGGGTGTTCGCCTCCTCAATCTTCCTCGAGGTCGTGGCCTCACTGCGTGGAGCGAACCGACCCAGAGCGGAACAGAGCGCAAGGCAAGGGGATTTCGTGCGCTGCTGCCAATGATTCCAAAGATATTGCGTCGCTCTCCGAGCAAAGATTTGAATTGAATGTGTTGTGTGAGCAGTTTTCAAGTACGTCCTGCTCTTTTATTTGACAGAAGCCGTCTTGAACTAACATGCATGAAATGAAGAGAAAACAGATATATGCTGACCGAGCCATGTTTGGCCGAGCCATACTGCGAAGGGCAATAAAAATATATGCCGCATTATAATTGTGAGATCTTTGGATCGCTGCTGCAGGGTCGTCGCGAAACGAAACGACTCCATATCTTTTGCCAGAGGTCGTTAAGGCGGTTAATGGCTCAAGAAGCTCCAACCTCCTTCGAAGTCCAATGGGCTCCAGGAAGTCCTAGGGCCCCCCACCCACTCCAAGATTCGCCAGCAAGAAGACACAGCTCCGCACCGCCTTCCTCTCCAACCCTCTCGATCCCCATCTGGGTCGCCGCTGTGTTTGCGATCGCGTGCATCTTCCGTGACGCTCGGGTCGCTGCCCAGACGAACCACTCGGAGCTCGAGCCGCAACTTCTGCTGCTGGCCAACACGCCCACCACGTGCTCGTGGGGTGCCAACCTCGCCTGCAGTCTCACGGACTCGACCAACAACCTCAAGCTCGGAGCCGGGTGCGTCCTGCCTGTACCCATTCCGACGGACAACTACGTCTCCGACAAGCGCACCAATAAGTTCGATGACGCTCAGCTGTTGACGGCGTCGGAGCAGCCGTTCGTCGAGATCACGTCTACTTATGCCGGGTCGTCGACGGTGGACTCGAGGACGGGCCAAGTGGCGTGGTACCGCTACAAGACCGCGCCGCTCACGTCACAGCAGAGCGTCAACTTCAAGGTTCCTGGACTGTACTCGCTGTCGATCATCGCTACCGACTACGACCGCACCGCCCAATGTGACGGCTGCGTCGCGATCAACGACGCGTACCGCCCCCGCTACAAGACTGGGAGCTGCCCCACCGCCCCCTTCACGACGACGGAGAACATTTTGATCCGATCTCGCCGAGACCCTACCATGTGCATGGACGACGGCGGCGGTACCTCATCGGGCATGACCAAGTTCACTCTGGCAGCTTGCAACCCGAACAGCGCGAACCAGGTCTACGCGTACGACCCCAGCAAGCTGGAGTTCCGGAATGTCAACAAGAACACCCTGTGTCTGGACGACGGCGGAGGTTGGGGCATCCATTCGACCCCTTGGCACATGTGGGAGTGCGACGCGGCCAACTGGAACCAGAAGTTCACGTACATCGCACAAACCGGGCAGATTGAAAACCCCTACAAGTTCTGCTTCACCGACACCCCTGTATCGGGCACTCTCCACTGGTTCTATTACGAAGAATGCGACACCTCCAGGCTGGACCAGCAGTTCGACCTGGTGCCTCAGTGGCAGCTGCTAAACGTCCCCAACCCTGCAGCTCTGACCACGGCATCGTTAGCCACGGCTAGAACCTACGAAGGCTTGTTCGACAACTACGTGAAGGACGCCAACGTGCTGAACAACGCCAACGGTGGAGACGACTGCAGTACCGCTGAAACCAAGGTCGAGTACCTCCGAGACGACTTGAAGAGCTTGTCTTCTGGCTCGTGTTTCAGCGACGCATCATTGGCGACAAGCGTGGACAACCTCAAGACGAGTCCGTTCACGACCCAACTGCAGACGCCGTACCTCTCCTTGCAGTCAACCTTGGCTGACAGCTGCCAATGGTGCTGTGAGAAGTCCAAGACGCTGCTGGAGAAGTACACCGAGTACGGGTGTGCAACGGCCCCCGCTGACAAGGGTTGCGTGGGTGGCTCGGGCAATTCTTGTCGATGAACTTGTGCCTCAAGGTCTTCGGCGACACGCTGGCTACCGTAACGATTGGCATTGCTTCGGCCGTCCAAACGGTTTCCAACGGTGTGCTCAATGCGCTCCCCAGTAAGCCGACGGGCAGTGACGCGACCAAGCACGTGTACTACAGCGTTGGATGCACCGACTTCAGCGCCACGGACAGCAAGTGCCACTATGAGGTGGAACTGTCCAAGCTGCTTACCGTCACGACGGGCTTTGCCGGGTCCTTCCCCACTCCGCCGTCCGAGACGGGCAAGATCAACGACTATGTCTTCTGGCGCTACAACCTGGACGGTGGCGAGTGGAAGACGTGGAGCCGCACCAGTGACAGCAAGATCGCCTTCACGGACGCTAGCACGGCGGTGATCGTCGAGGCGTGGACGAGCTGCGGACGCGTGGGCGACGCCTTCTCCTTCGATGTGAACCTCTTCGTGCACAGCACGCTGACGTGCTCCAGTTTCGACGCCATGTGGAAGTTGGAAGGCTCGGATCCTACGCCTGGCAACGCCTACTGCGCGTACCCGGGCAGCGACTTCGCTGTCATGAAGCTGGACATGACCGTCGCGGACGTAGTGCTGAGCTCTGCCGGTAAGGTGACGGGGTCGTACGCTGGCGTCACGTGTGACATCATGCTCAAGGAGGAGGCGACGACTGCGACGAATACGAAGGCGTACCAGCTTCTGTCGGACTCGACGAACCCCACGATCTCCAAGTACTTTGCCGTCGAGATGGTGCACAACCCGCACACAGCTCGCAAGACCGCCGCTAAAGTTACGTGCACGTTCACGCGAACCCCGCACAGCAACACGATGCTGCTGGCAGAGGACACGGACCCGAACTCCATCACGTGCATGCACGACTTCACCGTGACGGACTGCGATGCCCCGGAGGTGATCTCTTTCGTTCAGGACGGCCTGTGTGCCGATAAGTGTGCGGGGAAAGCTGCACCGGGGGTGAACGAGGCGTGTGGTGGCACGGTCGTGAGGTCCGATGCAACGGACACCAGCATCTCGACGACGGAGGCGACTTGCTGCACCGACTGCGACCCGGATCTCAGCTGTACGGCGGTCGGCTCGACGGACGTCAAGCGCTGCGAGAAGTCAGCACTGATCCCGCTGATGTTGACTGCCACGGAGGAGGAGAAGAGCTTTACCAGCAGCTCGACGTTGGTGCTGCTCGGTGCTACTGCTATGGTCGCTGTCGTGGCGCTCGTTGTGGTCAAGCGCCGCACCGGCAGCTCGACCGTGCACGAGGACGCGTACTACCCATTGCTCGAGTAAGTCGGCCGCGGACACAGCCGTCTTTTGCTGCGTGCATATATTCCTTTTTCCTCACTGTAGTAGTTGCCAGGAAGACCATTCTTGTTAATGAGCTCGCTTTGATTTAGCCAAACGCTTTTGCCAAAAACTTACGTGAAGAAGAAGAAAAAGTTGATTAACTAGATAGTGGACATGCAGTTTCGCTACACTGGAAACGGTATTTAGTATTTATCACTCATACTATTTTATGTGAGGTTGATTTTTCCATCCTCACCGCAATTGGTGTGAGTGTGATTAATTTCAAAACTAATACTATTTAGTGTGAGGAACAATTAGTCTCACTCATACTAATACCCACTTCACAAAAAATGACACTTCGAACACAGACAACTTGATCGAAATACAACAACCTGCGTTGTACATTCTGTTGTAAAGAGCATAATAAGCAGTTGTGGGAAGCCCCGTGCTCAAAATCGAACGGCCCGCGTTTAGGGTGCGAAATTGAAAAGTGCAAGGTTACATTCCACACAGGGGCATATTAAATATTGTGACGGACCGCCACGATAAGTAATGAATAATCTAGCATGGTATGACGTTGCGGACACTCAGTAGCACCCGTCTTGTCGGCAACCTTGCCACGCTCTTTCTGGAGAGACAGTGCTGCCACGATCGGAGATGCTGATGGCGGCTCCTGGTCCTTGGTCTGGCAGGCCGGGCACATGATGAACTGACCAAAACCTTCGGCTCCAACGGCAGTGCCGCCAAACGGATGCATGTGCACTAAATACCGTTTCCAGTGTAGCTAAATAAGCAAATGGCTCGGTCTGGAGAAGTCGTTGTTCACGTAAGCTGGTTCGGTCTGGAGAAGTCG